CCCACTTACAAGCCTGAAGGAGACACTATCCCCATTTTACAGAGGAGAAAACTGAGGTGCAGTGCATTTAAACATCATGCCCAAGATCACACATCTAGTAACTAGTAGGGCTGGATCCACACCCATGTCTCATTCCAAACCTCATGCCTTCATCACTGACATCATAGTGTCTCCACAGCCTCAGTAGCTTTACAGTAATATATCCCCTAGGCTACTGCTGAAAAAAAATGGTTCTCAGCTAGGTGTTTTGAGCAGGCCAGAATACAAAACTTACAGAGTACTGACATGGTTTTTGGAAAAAATCACTGGTGGCTAGACTTTCATAGGTAAATTTAGGATAAAGTGACTTGGCTGCTTTTGCCTTTCTCTCTTACAGACATGCATTGTTCTGGTTTAGCAGACATTTCCCGGAAGGAGGAGAGTGGCATCAGAAGCCCTGGCTTGGGTTTGGGTCCTGCTATTCAGTATTTGAGTGGCCTTGGATAAGTCATTGACCTCCTCAGGTTCTCTTTCCTCCTTGCAATGAGGATCATAAGTAACAGGATCAAAACTATCCTGCCTCACTCCAGGGTAGTTTTAAGTGTCAAATGTGATGTGTGTAAGCTCTTGGAGAAATCCAGTGTCCCTGAGTTACTAGTAACATTGCTGGAGAAGCTCCCCTTCCTCGGCCCTGTGCCCAGGTAAGGGCGTGTGGCAGCTGGGCAGGATGGGCCTGGTGGCCCCATTGCAGTTCCTGTGCCTCTGGGAGTGTCCCCTAGACCGCCGCTGCCACCGCGCTCCTGGGAGTGTTGGGGCGCTGCCCGGTGCAGCCGCGGCAGCAGAGGCTGCGCGAAATCAATCTGAGATTCTGGGGCATCCTTTCCTCCTCAAGCTGAGAACGGATCCTCAAAAAGTGACAAACATTCATCATAAACGCAACTTGTAAAAATCCCCAATACAGTCCGGTCCAATTGTCCCTTTGCTCCGTCTTAGGTGCTGACGCATTTACCTTGGAATTTTATCTGCCCGTTTAGAAATCTTTCGTTCTGGTCTGACTTAATTCTGGGGTCAATCTGTAGTTCTGGGAAGCCAGGAGAAAATAAAAATCTCAGTCTGAGTTGCCGTTTGAACATCCTTCACCAGATCCACGTTTAAAGCTGGTGTTCAGTAGCATTGCCTTCTATTTTCCTTAAAAAAATAAAAAAAATGCTTAAACCAATTTCCAACGCAGAAGACTGAACTCATCACCCGGGGTCGAGGTCCGCGTGGCTCCCCGAGCGGGGACCTGCAGCTCCGTCGCCCC